TAGGTCCTGGCGGTGTCCGAGGACAATGCCACGGGTTAAACGCAAAGATCATGCTGTGGATGCAGCCCCTCTCAGCCCTATCTCTGGCCCTTTGCCAGACCAGGCTGTGCTCAAGGGTTACTCCTGGTTCTGTGCCCACAGGTCACATGAGTAGTGCAGGAATAGTATCCGGGTCAGAAGGCTGCAGGAAGGCAAGTGTATTATCATGCTGGCTCTCTTCTCTTTGCTTTTCCTGTGTTTTTTGGGTTACTTTCAGCCATGTTCAGAGCTTACTCCTGGCTCTGTGTTCGGGGATCACTCCTAGAGTGGCTCAGAAAACCATATGCCGTGTTGGAGATCAAACCTGGTTGTGCCGTGTGCAAGGGAAGCACCTTATCCCCTGTACTAGCTCTTCAGCTCGTTTCATTTTCTTAGGATTCCTATCTGGCTCGAATCTTTGATTAAATATACTATATTTTCCTTGGGTAACATCAGTAACATTCCTAACATTGTTTTCCTTTGGTATTAAAGTAACTACCACATGAAGAAAATAAGAGTATAGGGAAAAATCACCTCAAAGTTTGCACACTCAGATTTATCAGGTCCTTTCCCCTGCCCCATGTATATACATTGATCATAGTAGCTTTTGTACTGCCTTTTTGGGGGACACCATACTCAGGGGTACTCAAGGGTAATACCTGGTTCTGGGCTCAGGGGCTGGATCTGTTGGTACTTGGAGGATCACATGTGGTGCTGGGATTCGAACCCAGATCATGGTTACAGCTATTATCTCTCTGGCCCAGCTATACTGCTTCTTCATTCAACAATATGCCATGCTTTTATCAGGATTTTTGAACCATTCACCTAAATAGTGATTACATTTTAGGGTTTTTGTTTTCTTGTTTTGGGGGCTATACCTGGCATTGCTGAAGGCCATTCCCGCCAGTGCTAGGGGACCAGCTGGTGTTTGAGACCAAACCTGGGCCTCTTGCATGCAAAGCATGTGCTCAGCCCATTAAACTCTCTCTCTCTCTGGCCCTTTTCTGGTTTGGGGGCTTTTTTGGGAAAACAGGTGGTGCTGGAGACACACCTGGCAGTACTCAGGGTTTATTCCTGGCTTTGTGCTCAGAGATCACTCCTGAAAATGCTTGGGGGCTGGCTATATTGTGGTTCCAGGGGTAGAATCGAGGTTGCTTGCTTTTTCTAGAGATTTTGTTAGTTGTTTTTGTTTCTGGGCTACACCTAGCAGTGCACTAGGCTTATTAATGCTATGTGCTCTGGGAATCGCTCCTGCTGGGACTCAGAGGACCATACATGGTGTCAGGAAGTGAACCTGGCTCAGTGGCACGCAAGGCAAGCACCTTATCTGCTGTACTACTGCTTTGGCTCCTTTTCTGGAATTCTTAAGGAAAAGATGTGAACTTATGGTAATGACATAACCTTCCTCCCTACCCCATCCCCTAAATCTTTTTATTGCATTTTAGAACACTGCTAGAGACTAAAAACTTCAACTATGATTGGTTACTAGTGATGCAGTTTCCCTTTCAGACTCATCACAAATACTGAGGGGGAGAATTTTCCTGCTACTAGCAGAGCATCTCTTCCTGGTGGAGACAGTGCACTGCTGAGTAGAAGGAAGAGGGCCAAGTGCTCTACCACTTGAGCTCTATCCTGGCTCTAACATGCATCCAACCCCACTCACCCTTGTGGTGTTGGGGATTGAACCAAAGCCTCACACATACAAGGCACTTCCCTGGTTCCCTCAATCTTTTTTTTTTTTTTTTTTGGTGGGGTATGTTCAGGCCTGGTTATGTTCAGGGCTTACTCCTGGCTCTGTGCTCAAGGACCAATCCTAGCAGCGTTCAGATCATAAGTGGTGCCAGGATGGAACGTGGGTCAGCTGCATGCAAGGCAAGTTCCCTACCGACTGTGCTCTCCTTGGGACCTCTCTTAATAATCTTATCTCTAAGAGTAGTTCCCAAACAATCCTCTGCAAGTAAGGCTCTACCTTGGGAATAATAACTCCTCCCCTGGCTAAGTATTATTAACTTCTTTTCCTCTTTTATAGTCAGGTGATTATATTTAACTAATACTTGCTCACACAAGCCTTTGCGAATCACCAACCAACCTTCACAACCTTCAGGAAAACAGTAGGGTTGTTACTAATTAACACCTTATAGGAGAAAAAATCCCGATGTTTACTTAGAGAGGGTAAGCCACTTGTTGGAGGTAAGTTTTGCTGAGAAATCAGCGAGCCCTCCGTGTTGAGCAACAAATTGGCTGTGACATCTTTGCTACCTTCTCCTAATCTCTAGGCAACTTAGGCAAAAGTGATCCCTCAAGTTCGTCTGAGAAGCAATATCTTTCACACTACTCCTCCCAATTACTCTTCATCAAATAGTATTATCGCTGCGGTCCAGACCGAGCAAACAACAGGGTAACAGAATCGAAAGCCCTAAAGTTAGAACCAACCACATTTTAGGAGAAAAACTTGAAGTTCCCTTCGGTGCTTCTAAACTGAAGCAACTTGGTTTAATTGCTCACATTTGGGCAAGCCAGGCCAAAGCTTATGTTGTCTCTTCCTGTTAAGCACTGAGTTTCATAATGACCCAAGTCGATCATTAATTTATTTCTTTACATCTTCTAGGCAAATACCTGACCTGATTAATTTTAAGAAAGCCATGTTGTGAGGTGGACGTCTACTATAAACCTTTTCTCATTTTTCCAAGCCCAAAGAGGGGTAGGATGCTGGGGAGAGTACAGCTGGTAGGACACTTCCATTGCCTTGCATACAGTTGACCTGGATTTGATCCCTGGAATCACATATGGTCCCAAGAGCCTCACCAGAAATGATCCTTAAGCACCACTAGGTGTTAGCCCAGAAATTAAAAAAAAAAAAAAAAAGGAAAAAAAAAAGTTGGGACAGAGGAGGGAGACATACCTGGTTGTCCTGAGTCATTTGACAGGTAAAGCCTGGTATAAAACTACTCCAATTTATCAATTTTGCTGAAGTTCAGAACAAGAGAACATTGATTTATTCAAATATAATAAAGTGGGTCAAGAGTCAAGTGCATGCTTTGCAAGCAGGTAGCCAGGTACCCCCTCTAGTACCACATAGTTTCTGAAGCACCGCTAGAAGAAGCCCCTCAGCCTAGAGCCAGGAGAATCTGCCCCTGATCACCACTGGGATTGGCCCCCAAACAAAAAATGGGTCAAGATGCTTGGGTCTATTATTATTTTAGATGATGAACCAGATGATGTTCCCCGCCCACAGTGACTGAGGGCTCCCTTTCCATTACATTCTTGTCTATAGTGCTAATTTACTTGTTTTACTAAGGAATTGTGATTTACAGTACTCTAAGTGGTAGCTTCAATTACACATCATTTTAACACCACAATTCCCTGCACCAAGGTCTGAAATGCCCCTCTCATTTCACACCCCCACCCAAGACAAGGTTCTATGAACCAACTATTCAGTTGCTGCTGTTTCTCTTTTCCTGTTTTAGGCCCCACATAAGCAGTCATTCTGTATCTAGCCCCTTCCTTACTCCTGGCTTTGTACTCAGGAGTGCTGGGTATTGAACCCAGGTCAGCTTGGCACAAGGCAAGAACCTTATCCTTACTCTCTGCAAGGGTAAGGCTGTGTAACTGACTGTTACTATATCTCCAACCCCTATTTTTAGTGTTGGCTGTTATCAAAATTGATCTTGAATAAAAAAATTACTCTACCACAGAGCCACATCTTCATCCCCTTAGTGGATTTAAGTGTGGCTGCAATTCAACAATTGGGTAAGACAAATAACCATATAAACTTGCTTAAGTTTTCACTTTTGAGCTACGCCCAAGATAACTGCCACGAGCCAACTGCCATGAGCCTGCCATTAGGGCTCATGCCCCGATTCACTGAAAAGCTGCATGCTTTGTTAGTTCCCCATTTTGCCCACTTCCTCATGTAATCGATTATAAAAAGCTAGCTTGGGAGAAATAAATTTGGAGCTTGATCAGGAAAAAAAAAGTTTTCAGTTTTGATTTGGGGGCCACATCTAGCAGTGCTAAGGGATCACACATGGCAGTGCACAGGGAGACCAAATGCAGTGGCACGAATCAAACCAACATTGGCAAGTGAGTTAACCTCTGTAGCATGGCTCATTAGCTCTAAATATTGGGGGGGGAAGGGAATAAAATTTCTTTCCTTTACTTAAACTATTTCACCATGGGTAATCCTTAGAAAGAACAATATAGAGGTTATAGACATAACCTCATGGAAAAAGCCCAAAAGGAGGCAAGGACTATCAGTCATAACAGGTTCTTCCTCTAAAATTCCCTCTTCCAACTGGCATAATCCTTAGACTTTGAAAGGAGTTTTTATTGATGCTTTCAGAGAGATGATTTCAAAATTCTCCTACTGCTTGTCTTAAAGAGGAGGGGGAAAAATTAAAATAAAGTGGGCCATGTACATAAGTCATAAATTGATCAGTTGAATTAGAGTAAAATTTAATCTTGATAATGAAAATTAACACACAGCAAGTTTTTTCCTCAAGAAAACCAAGACTGGTTCAGATACAGTACAGGGTGGGAGGCAATTACCTTTCATACAGCCAGCATTGGGCTGGAGCAATAGCACAGTGGGTAGGGCGTTTGCCTTCCACGTGGCTGACCCGGGTTCGATTCCTCCATCCCTTTTGGAGAGCCTGGCAAGTTACTGAGAGTATCGCCCTCCCCAGCACCCCCCAAGGCAGAGCCTGGCAAACTCCTCGTGGCGTATTCGATATGCTAAAAATAGTAACAAGTCTCACAATGGAGACATTACTGGCGCCCGCTTGAGCAAATCGATGAACAACCGGAGGACAGCGCTACAGTGCTACAGAGTCAGCACTGGTTCAGTCCCCAGAACTGCATGATTTCCTGAGCACCTCCAGGAGTGATCCTGAGCAAAGAGCCAGAGTAAGCTCTGAGGGTTGCTGGGTACACCTACCCTTAGCCACCAAAATAAGAAACAGACATATCAAGAAACATTTCTTAAAAAAAAAAAAAAGTTTATTTGGAAAAGCCAGCTTCTTACACAAGGTTTTGTAACTATCTTTTCATTCACTCAATACAATATTTTAAAATGCACTGAATATAATCCATTGAATATTACCATCCTGTAGCAATTTAAAAGATATTAGGTTAAAAAATATTTACAGTTTTTATTCTGGTCTGTCCTTCCTCCTATTGTTACAATGACCTCATTACTTTACAGGGAAGTGAACAGGGTCAAAATTCTTACATCTGTGTGGAGAGTAAGAATGTGTCCAATAAATTCTAAGCAAAACATAATTTTCTTTAAGGCTTTCTCAGAAAAGGAAAAGGAGTTATTTAGTGAAACTAAGTACACCAAGAAAATTTCCTCCCAGTTTCGTCCTTATTGATTTACCTGAGCAAAAGCTCTCTGACCTCTTTAATCAGCAAACTTTGGGGAAAAAACCCATTAAAACTGAGTATCTCACATGGACCTCTAAACTAGAAGCAGATATAAATAGAATTAACTATGAATCAAAGGGGAAAAAAATTCAGGAAAAGAAAATAACAATTTACAGTCTGAGGTTTTGGAAAAACCTAAATCCAGTCACTGTTTGAAATATCTGTCTACATTTACTTAGGTATGTTATATTTAATAAGGAGGCTCAAATTTATTATTTGGTATATTTTAATATAAATTTTTAACAATGAAAAAAATACTAAGTGATCCCAAAAGAGCAATGCTCGATAACCCTCTACATGTGTATTTGAAAAGGGGTGCAAAAATAGTCATCTAATGAAATTAGCTCTTCTTAAGCACTTGGACTCTACTAAGCATCCCAAGAAAAGATACTGGAGGGACGTTGACAAATGCAATGTGTCTAGAACAGCCAAAAATTTCCAGATTTTATGATTTAAATTTCCTAAATATATCACTAACAGGCACACGTGCCAAGCAATTATTGACATTACAAAATATTTCAACAACCCCTAATTTCCAAGCAGTATTTCTACTCATAATCTTCCAGTGACAATGTCTGGCAAAATAATACAAATAACAATAAATCAAGATTAATTTTAGACTTGCCTCAAACAATTAGGGTATTTTTCCTTTTAATGCAACACTTAAAATAGATGAATTTAGCAGAATGGTTTAAAAAGTTAAGGCTCCCTAAAGAGTTCTAAAGACTAAAACTTAAGGCACGTATTATAATCTTCATGACACTGCTGAAAGCTAAGGTTAACCAAAAAAAAAAAAGAGAGAGAAAAGGAAGAAAGAAAAAAGAAAGAAAGACATCCTCCTCTCATACTTTGCCATTCAATCCCTCCCCAAAGGATACAATATTTTAATTCAGGCTATTGGTAACAAGGTGAAACAAAAACTCCATCAATGAACACCTAGTATGATTTCCACACCAGTCCACATTTTACATTGAGCACCACTGGTAGATTACAGGCCAGTAGAATATTTCCGGTATCTTGGATCATAAGCTGCTGCATTTATCCCTCAATAACCCCCAAGTTCAAACTGGACTCCCTTCCTTGGGACCGCTTTTTGTGCTTATCTGCTCTAGAGATTCTGCTGCATTGGCAACTTTTGGTTTCTCAATAACATCTATACTGGTCTCCTCTTCTTTACTTTCTTCTTTTTTCTCTGCTTTTTGTTCTTTTGCTGTAAGCCGGTAGTTGATTCCCATGCCAACAAACAGATAGAGGCCTGCGAAAATTAAAATTACACCACATACCCAGTATGTATATTTGTAGTCTTTATATATGTCATTGAGACGACCTAAAGGAATTAAAAAAAAAATGTATGGGTAAAAAGTAGACATTTATACCCTTTCCCAAATAAAACTTAACTAAGAAAGATGATAGCAACGCAATCTGCAGGAAACAACAATAGACAAATTATTCTAAAACGAAGTGTTCAATATGACCTGATCTTTGGATTATGGTGTTATGCTTGATTATGGATGACTACTATTCTGGAAAATTTGAATTGGAAAAGCCCTAGAAATAACTTCAATTTTCATGGAAAAACTAGCTCAAAAGAGGTCTGAGGAATCTTACCTGAAATAAGAGCTAATTTCAGTCTTCGAGGTAGAGGGTTTTATCCCTGACATCAACTTTTTCAAAAAAGCATTCTTTTTTTCAGTTTTTGGGCCACACCTGGAAATGCTCAGGGCTTTAGTTCTGGATCGGCACTCAGAGATCATTCCTGGCAGCTTGGGGACCACAGAAGATGGAGGGGATCAAACCTGTTTGGCTGTGTACAAGACAAACACCCTACCTTCTGTACTATCTCTCCTGTCCTATACAAATGCTTTTTAAAACTCTGGCTATCAGTCACTTGGCAGTATTTACTGATCTACATATACCAGGCACCAGGTCAGCTAGGCCCTGAGGATAAGAGATACCAACCATAGTTCAGTGGAGGAGAGATGTTAATCAAAGGCACACAGAAACAGTGTCAAGTGTTCCAAGGAAGGTTTGAAAGCAGACATACTGGGTGTTGGGGCCAGGAAGTAAAAGTAAGTAAAGTAAAGTAAAGGCCCTCCCGTTGATCATCGATTTGCTCGAGCGGGCCCAGTAATGTCTCCATTGGAGACTTTGTTGTTACTGTGTCTGGCATATCGAATACTCTCAGTAGCCGGGGCCAGGAAGTAGGTCAGGAAAACTTCTCTTAAAGTGTAAATTAAGCCAAAGCTTACAGAAATCAGGGGATGTTCAGGAGAAAAAGAACTCAGTCTTGCTGTTCCTATAGGAAGACAAGCCGATGTGGGGAGCAGAGGGTATAAGGCCACACTGCTGGAGTAGAGAGCAAACAGGCAGGTGGAGGTGAGCGGTAGGAGGGAGGTGGGTCCGGCCCTGCAGAGCCTTGGAAGGCCTCACTGGGGAACTTCCTCTTCATCCCAAAAATGAGGAAAACAACTAGAGTTTTAAGAGACTGAAGACTAGCTGGAGGGGTCTTGGGCAAACCAGAGTGAAGGAGACCATGAGGAGCAGCTGGAGAGGAGATAGGAACCAAGGGGGGTGATGAGTGAGGGAAGCAGTTATGCTGGAGAAATGGCGGATTGGAACTGATCTGAAAAAGTGAGAACTGGCAGAACCTGGGACTGACTGGAGAGAGGAGAAAAAAGGCAGGCATTTTCAAAATAAATAAATCTTGGGGCCAGAGAAATAGTAAGCCTTTTGTGTCCCTTACTTCACAATGCCCAATCTCAAAAGCCTGAGTCTTACACAGACAACGTTGAAATTATTGTTGTATTTTGTATTAATAATTAAAAAACAATTTATATTAGAGAATAAAACAAAATACTACAGTCATTAGTTTGATCATGGGTAAGTGCTTTTGATTTTAGAAGCCTTTTTTAATTTATAAAAGTACAATACGAAAGAACGCAAAGTACCATTCTTCCAGACTTGTGTAATGACAGGATATATCAAACTATTCCGACAGTCCCTGGTGCCCTGGTAGCTATTAGTACTTTAAATGCTGAGATAAATTTCACAATAAAAACAAAATGACCAAGAGAGGGATGGGCAAACTATTATTGTATGACTGAAATATGAAAGTTTGTAAGTTTCTAACTGTACCTCACAGTGATTCACTAATAAAAAAAATTAAAAAAAAAAAAACCAACAACACAAAAACAAAATACCAGGATGAGCAGACGTCTAAAATGCTGGAACATATGCTTTGCATGCCGGTCTATGGTTCTATCCCTGGCACTATATGGTCTATGGAGTACTTTTAGAAGAAAACCCTGAGCACTGGTGGGCCAGGAGAAGACCTCCCTCTCCCCGTTACTGATGATTATGGCTCCCAAACAAAAAACAAAAATAAAATAAAATAAAACCGCCAATACTAGAGACCAGTGTGATAGCTCAATGGGCTGAAACTGCCCTGCATGCAGAAAGCTTGCCAATGTCTATGGTGCCTTGAGTACCAAAGCATTGCCAGGTGAGGCCCCAATCTGAAATCACTGATAGTATTTTATTTGTTTTGGGGTCACACTTGACGATGTTTAGGGGTGACTTCCGGCTCTGCACTCAGGAATTAGTCCTGGCAGAGCTCGGGGAACCACACAGGATATCTAGGATTCAACCCAGATTGGTCTCGTCCTAGGAAAATGCCTTACCCACTATATTATCACTAATACTATTTATTGATTTTTGGTTTTTTGGTCATACCGAGCAATGCTCAGGGCTTGTCTCGTCCTAGGAAAATGCCTTACCCACTATACTATCACTAATAGTACTTGTTGATTTTTTTTTTTTTTTGTCATACCGAGCAATGCTCAGGGCTCACTCCTGGCTCTCCACTCAGGGATCACTCCTGCTTGTGCTGGGGGGGGGGCACATGGAATGCTGGGAATCAAACTCCGGTCAGCTGCATGCACTGGCCCAACATATACTGTATGTTTTTTCTTTTTGGGCCACAACCAAATGCTAAGGGGTTACTCCTGGCTCTGCACTAAGGAATGACTCCTGGTAGTGCACAGGGGTACCACTGAGGAATGGTCCAAAGGGAATTGAACCTGGTTTGATCTTGTGCAAGGCAAGCACCCAACCCACTGTACTATCTCTATAGCTCTCCACTGATAGTATTTTAAAGATGGAAAGTATATGACACTCGAAACATTAAGTGTTAGGATTGGACCTGAGCTGGGGGTGTGTGTCATGGGTCATGCATGGACCCTAGGCCACTCTGTCCTCACACACTCCTAACTCTTATGGACTTCCCCTTCAGCTTGATGGCTCACTTTAATTAAATTCTATCAAGTATTTGAGCAGAAATGCCAACACTGAGGGAACGGAAATGAGAAAGACTTGCTTGAATCACTTCTTACTCCTGTCACCTTCTGAACTATCTACGGAACCATCAAGATGGAGAGCCATACTATACCTAACAGCGGTGGCCCCAGGAGCACAGGGCAGCATTCCACAATGGTCACCAATCCCACAGCACTGGAGAATCTCTGCGGTCCCACGAGGTCCATCAATGTTTCAAACAGTACTGAGCTGAGCCATCCAAATGCAAATCCAAAGAATCCCGCATAGACACAGAACTCGACATATGTCGAGCATAAAGGTGCTAGCAGATGACATGCTCCATTTGCAATAACAGAAGCAGCAAAGAAATACTGGACTCGAGGTCTTATCCACTTTGTGTTGGCTACCAGCCCCATCGACGGTCTGGCCACCATGTCAACAAAAGCAAGAATGGAAAGAAGGAAAGCAGCCTTCTCGTTTGAGAAATGCTTACTCTTTCCATAGTTACTAAGAAAGACCAGAGGAGTAAATAGTCCAAAGAACATGAGCACATTTCCAGAGAGATATAACAAAAATCCTCTGTGCTTGAACAGAGAGAAGTCCAGGAATTTATTAATGGTTTGGAAGAATGACTGTTTCTCTGCTTTGGGGTTTCCTCCAATAAGGTCTGTGTTCACATCGCCTGTTCCTTTTCTTGCCTCAGATTTTCCAGCTTCCTGAAGAGGTTCTTTGGATCCCTCTTTCTCTACTTTGGCTGGTTTGGGCCCAATTGGTCTCATGAGGGATCCAGCCACACAACAGTTTAACAATAAGCCCCCAAGAATCAGGAAGCTTCCTCTCCAGCCATAAATACCAAAGAAAATCTGGTTGAGGGGGGCCAGGGTTGAGAGGAATACCGGGCTGCCTGCCATGGCCAGTCCATTTGCCAGTGGTCTCTTCTTGTAGAAATACTTGCCAATCATGGTCAGAGCTGGATTCAAATTGAAGGCAAGCCCAAGACCTGGTGGGATGGAGAAAAAAGTGTTATAAGTCACAATAATGTCAGAAATATATTTGGAATTAACAAAGTAAAAGATATATATTAAAAATAAGACATGTACACATATACATAAAGGATAAAAAGGAACCCATTATAAGAGCACATATTCTGAAGTATTTGAAATATAAGCTCTAAAACTTTAAAACCAGGTTTAAATGTCAGTATTAGTAGTCAGACTGTCAGACATACTAACAGGTCAGCTACTACTTCCATATACTACTTCCATACACAAGCACATACAGCATGTGTGTGTGTGTGTGTGTGTGTGTTTGTGTGTACGGGTGTGCCTGTGTGGTTTTGGATCACACATGGCTGGGCTCAGGGCATGTTACGATTTGAATCTGGGTTAGCTGCATGCAAATCAAGCAAGTACTTTATCCACTGTATTATCTCTGGCTCAGAATGAATTCTTTTAATTAATATTATTATTATTTGAAAGTAACTTTAGTCAAATTTAGCAAAATTACCTAAAGTATCAGCATGATAACCAGTGAGGATTAAGTAGACTATATAAAAATCAAGTTTTTCAGTAACAAATGTAGATAAAAATTTCATCTACAATATTACCCAAAACTAAAAACTATTTTTTTGTCTTTTACATTTATTTATTTTTAATTTTTAAACATTTTATAAGGTAGTTCACAATATTTGATTACATTTAATATTCAAACACCAATCCCACCACCATTACACCTTCCCACCACCATACTTGGGATGTTTCCATCTCAAACCGCAATCTCTGCCCCAAAGCAGAACCCAAATAATATATTTTGTATTGTTTGTTATGAAAAACTGCTGAAAATGCTACAAAAAAGTATCCATAGAGGAAAGAATGTGAAGATTGTTCTATTTTGGCAGGGGCGATTAAGACCTTCTATAGATATTACTAACATGTTGTTAAAGGTTGAGCCTTGTGAATTTTTGTATATATATATGTATCTGTAAATATATATATGTACACATATATATATATTTCCCTCTATGATTGGTTGCCTACTATTTGAACCCCATCAACTGTGGTGCGGTACTCTTGGGAGTATGCGTAGGGTGTGTCTTATGAAGTGTCAGGAGGCTGCATTCCGGCAGCACAGTCCAGGAATAAGCTCATTCATGCGTGAGACTCAGCCTGAGTGTGAGGGGAGCGGCCTTGAGCATGGAGGTGATTGAGTTTTGAAGACTATTGGCTGCTGGGGATGGGTCCCTTGGGGCAGGGAGGGCTCTTGCCACCCCGCCCCCCCCCCCCCCCCCACACACACACACTCCCGCGGGGCACCCTGAGAGAAACAGCCTGGCACAGGGTCCAGTGGCATGGCTGTAGCAAGTGTCATGTTATGCTCCCTTCTGGGAGAGAGGGACATGTGATCTGGATGGTGGACAATGACGAGATTATCTGGTGCCAGCCAGAGGTGGCTTATGGGCATGACGGTCGGGTCGCTGGAGACAGGGGAAAAGAGGCAGGGGATTTCCACTCCTGGTAAAACTAATTTATGTGGTTACAACTGTGTAACTTTCCTGAGAGTCAGAGAACTAAAAATGACACACATATATAATTAAAGTTTTGGGCTAAGAACATACAGTACTATGAAGATGCCCTGTCTGGCCCAATCTTGCTCCCAACCATTCATTCTTCACTTATAATGAAACAGTCAGTTACTCCCAGTATAGTATGACAGCCTAATTTGTTGCTCTTTCCCCATGGCATCTAGAATAGTACATTTTAGGTGATTCTTCCTCAGTAAATATTTGATGAATGAATAAATGTGCAAAGGCACAAACTAACCATGTGGGAACAAAGAGAGCTCTATTTTTTCTCATTTTATGACAAAAATTCTCATACTTTAAGAAGTTTCAATGTAAGCAACAAAAGAGGGGTATATATTAAAGAGTGTAGGCAATAGGGTTGGACTATAGCTCAGTAAATTAGGCCCTGCATATATGAAGCCCTGGGTTTGATTCCAAGCATCACCACACACACACACAAAAATGTGGGCAGGGCAGGAGGGAAAGCAAAGAAAAAAATTTAACTTTGGAGTGGAGAACTTTCTAGGACTATACTAGATCAATATCATGAGTTTTAAGTACAAAGTACATGAAAACTATATATATTTAATGTAGAAAAATATTCAATTAAAACTTTTTATTGTGAATTTTGGATCACACCCAGAAGTGCTAAGGGGTTTAAGTGCTTGGGGAACAATTAGGTGCCAGGGTGAACCCAGGAATCTGGCATGGAAAACATCTGTGCTGCTCTGTTGAGTTTTCTCTCCAGTTCCTAAATGAAACATTTTTGAAGGCTAGAGGGGATAAAGGTCAAGGTGATTGTCTAGCATGTGGCTGTCACTGTGACCCTGGTTCAAACCCAGGTACCACACAATGGTCTCTTGAGCACTGCCAGGTTTGTTTTGCCCCTGCAGCCAGGTGTGGTCTCTGGGCATCTTAGAGTGTGGTTGAAAATAAACAAAAACTGTAATATTTACAAGATAAATGTCAGGGGTTGGAGCAATAGCACAGGGGTAGGGGCGTTTGCCTTGCACGCAGCCGACGTAGGTTAAATTCCTAGCATCCCATATGGTCCCCTGAGCACCGCCAGGAGTAATTCCTGAGTGCATGAACCAGAAATAACTCCTGTGCATCGCTGGGTGTGACCCAAAAAGAAAAAAAAAGATAAATGTCAACAACAAAGTTATCAGGAATACATATTTATCCACACATGTTCACAGCATTATTCACAGTACCCAAACATCTAAGCAACCTTAAATGTAGCAGTAACTTAGCACCAAGCACCCCTGAGAGTGACTCAACACAGGAGTAGCCCTGGATCACTTACAGGTGTGGCTCCCCAAACAAATAAAATGGTTTTGGAACTGGGTGGATTTGGCAATGACTTTAAATTGATGTTATGTATATTTTAATGCAGTTTTATATAAAGAATTAACTTGGGAAAATAACTATCCCATGCAAAAGTTATTATTATTTAATAGACTTTGGGGTCATACCTGGGGGAGCTCCTGGCTCTGTGTTCGAGATCACTCTTGGTGGGCTTGGGGGTACTATATGAGGTGCTGGTGACTGAACTGGCTGCATGCAAGGTAAGCTCTCTATTCACTGTACTAGTGCTCCAGCCCTACCCAACTTTTACTATATACTATGGTGGAACTAAAAATGAACATAACTTTTCTAAAGGGCAATTTAGTTTATACATATGGGGGAAAAAAATAAAAGGCAAGTCCACAAATTTATCATAAGAAAATATTCATGTTCACAATGGATTATTATTGCAGTATTATTTAATAAAACAGTTTTAAAAAAGGAATAAAACCACTTGACATTTTATTGAATAAGAGATTAAAAGTATCAGAATATTTTAATGACAAGTGCTTATAATATACTGTTAATTGAAAAATTTTCTACTACTCTTAAATTTATGTATTAATAGCTGTCCAAAATAACAACAAATCAACAGCAACGCACCTCCAATGACCCCGACACAAAAGTACAGCTCCTGCACAGTGTTGCAGAAAGACGCTGCAATCAAGCCACTGCCAGCCAGGCAGCCGCCTGCAATCATGACTGGACGACTGCCATATTTGTTCACCAGGACACTGCTGATGGGACCTAGGAGAGAATAAAAAATCTTAGTAGGGGAAATGAATCTACTTCCTCACATCTATATAAGGCTCCAAGGATACCAATTCTCTAAAATAACAGAGGACTATGTGGTGTTGGAACAATGCATTGATAAAAAAATACAATTAATAGTGTTGCAAATCATGGTACCTCAATAAAAATGGTAAAGGGAATAAAAGTCTGCCTTAAAGCATAGGACTGTCAATTTTATTCCTGGTGCTGCCACATGAGCCCAGCAAAATCCTGGCAACTCTGTTGTCTGTGATCCTTGTCACAAGTGATTTCTAGTTGCAATGAAGTCAGGTGTGTGTAAATACCACAAATATTTTGCACTTCCTGATGCAATCCCCAGAAAACACTGCAACTATTTATTTACTTATTGTTTGAGGGCCACAGCAATGGTGCTTGGGGGTTACTCCAGGCTCTGTGCTTAGGAACTGGGCCTTAAAATTTTTTTGTTTTGTTTTGTTTTGCTTTTTGGATCACATCTGGTGATGTTAAGGGGTTGCTCCTGGCTGTGCACTCAGGAATTACTCCTGGCGGTGCTTGGGGGACCATAAGGAATGCCAGGGATCGAACCCGGGACAGCTGCAAAGCTGCAAGTAAGGCAAACACCCGAGCCCTTGTATTATTGCTCCAGTCCCTTAAAAAATTCTTTTGACATTCTAAGTTACTTTTAAAAGAACAGTCTGGAGAGAGTGCTCAAGGAGTTGGAGTGCAAGCTTTGCATGCAGGAGGCCCAGGTTTGATCTTTAGCACGTGGTTCCCTTAACACTGCCAGGAATGATCCCTGAGTATCAAGCCAGGAACAAGCAATGCTGGGTGTGATAGCCCCAACAAAGGAAAATATTAAAGTCATAGCTGGTTTGGAGATCATTTAAATATAGCTTATATAGGCGAAACCACTAAATACTATTTGGAATTCAAAACATTAATGTTCAAAGTGCGGCCCAAATGCACAAATTAAAAGATTATGACAGGGGCTGGAGAGACAGCACAGCGGGTGGGGTGTTTGCCTTGCACGTGGCTGACCAGGGTTCGATTCCCAGCATCCCATATGGTGCCCTGAGCAATGCCAGGAGTAACTCCTGAGTGCAGAGCCAGGAGTAATCCCTGTGCATCACCGGGTATGATCCAAAAATCAAAATAAATAAATAATAATAATAATAATAATAATTTAAAAAATAAAAGATGATGACAGTTGTAAAGGTAATGATAATTCCTAGGGGACATAACACTTCAGAGCCAATCAAAACAATTCATTTTGTAAAAATTCTTCCACAAAGGTCCTGAGAGGCAATCTTTCTTTCAGTTATTTTAAGAAGGATGACCCCAATTAGTTATCATTAAAAATAGAGAAGGGTACACTTTATAGGATTATTAAAGCACAAACGCAGAGAAATGTGCTAGCTATCTCTGAGTAAGAACAAAGAAGGAACTGTTCCCTGAAGAGAAGTCATGTGCAATTAGTACAACTGACATCATTTACTTTAGATGCAAAATGCATGTGGTTGTCAAGCTCTGATTTGTAATCAGCTTAAAAATACAAAGAAGCACCTGGGACAATATTTAAGCCAATTTCTTCAAGACATTATTGTTAGAATTTGATTAGAAACTTGGCAGATACCATGTAAGGTTTTAAAATCACTGTTGCTGTGAAGTCAGATAATGTTCAAAGTCTCTTCTGATTTCCCTGAAATTACTTTAAAAACTACTAGTTTAACATGCTATGGAATTATCTGATTAATTACATCAAATACTTATTCCTACTTTAGTGTTTATGTTATTCTCTCAATAGGATAACCTTGCAAAGGCAGGGTTCAGTATCAATCATCTTCATTACTCATAACACATAGCCCTGCTAGATAATTTGTGTTCAATAAATACTGAGAGAAAATATCACCAGTATAGAAACTTACGGCTATTTGTTGGTGAAATACAGAATTTTTATGAGTAAAGTGCTACACGTGAAATTTTTCAAGGCATTAAACTCATCAAAATTAAGATTAATAAAAGTAAAATCTTGGGTAAAGAAGAAAGGTGGATAAGATAACTTTGGAAACTTCTGGCCATGGACATGCTTTGCAGGCAGAAGCTTTGGTTTGATCCTAACAGAACCACGAGGCTGTCAAATACCTGAGTTGGGAATCCCTACTTGGCAGGGATCATTCCTGGTGGGCTTGGAGGAGTATGTGGGGTGCCAGTGACCGAACCTGGGTCAGCTGTGTGCAAGGCAAGTACCCCAACTGCTGTACTATCTCTCTGGACATCTGTCTTTAAAACAAAATTCGTTTTCTCTACCCCCTTCTTTCCCTCTTACTCTCCCCCTCTCTCTTCCTCTCTGTGCCACACACAGTGCTCAGGGCTTACTCCTGTCTTTGAGTCAGGGACCACTTCTGGCAGGCTCAGGCAGCTATATGAAGTGCCAGGGATCACACTCAGGTTACCCATGTGCAAGGCAAGCACCCTACTCCTGTATTATCTCTCCAGCCCAACATAGGGTATTTTAAATGTTAAGTAAGCAATTTACTCTCCACAATTCCTGCACATGTCAAACAATATAGAAAGAGGAAATCTGTTTGCTTCGGGGACATACCCAGCGATGTAGGGGACTGACCTAATCTGATGCAGGGGATTGAATCTGGGTCAGCTGACTGTAAGACAAGAGCCCTACCCACTCTATCTTTCCAGTCCAGGAGAAAATAAACTACCAAAACTTTATTTTTAGGGTATAGCTGAAATGATTTTATAACTTATCACAAAGAACAAGGAGTTAGTTTGGTTTTAATTCTCACACGAAGAGAAGATTTGTTTTTGTGGCACATGTGGTAGTACTTAGGGGCTACTCCTGGCTCTGAGGTTGTGGTCACTCACAGCAGTGCTCGGGGGAACTGAGCAGTGATAGGGTGCTAGAGACTGAGCTCAGGCCTCCCACATGCAAAGAATGTGATCGAGCCTGTTGAGCTCCAGCTCCTTGGCTCCCATGAAAAATTTTCCTGGAGACTGACCTATGCTCCTCAGGTTGGGCTGACTTTTAAAAAAAATTCTCAAAACATTAATTTTTATTGACAATAATGTTGCAACATCACTTATTTATGCTGATGTCAAATCTAGTGGAGAGCAACAAGGAAAACCAGTTACATTTTTTGAGTTTCTAAAAGCTCAATGCTACTGAGTTTGCAAGTCAGGATTCTTCACAATTTTTTTATTTTAAATTTCAGAATACTAGAGAATAGCAAAAGTTGTCAGTGTTAATGAAAAGGAAAAGCAACACTAAACATAAAACTTCAAGAAATAACATTTTGAAATATCTCCTGAGTAAGCCCCCCCCCACCAATAAAGTTTTTTGGGTTATAAGCCTGGCAGTGCTCAGGGGACCATAATGTGATACTGGGATTGAACAGGGGTCAGCCACATGCAAGGCATGAACCTTAACCCCCGTACTCTTTGGCTCCAATGAGAAATTATGAAATACCTTTAATAAGGGTCAATGAAAATTGAAACAGTACACCTAAGTGGGTACTTACCTCCACCATACATGACAGCAAGCATGATGGAAGATATCCATGACACTTCACTGGTGGTGGCGTTGAATATACCTTCAATTTCTTTGAAGAACACAGTAATAGATTTGGCAAATGCATAAGAGAAGCCAATGGAAATGAATGCTCCAACTACAACTGCCCACCCCCAGCCTCCATCTGGGGGGGTGTATCCGACTGGACCTCCAACCGCTGGTGGCATTTTAAGTATAGATGAATTCCAAAATACAGCTCAAATCCAAATATCTGAAGAATATAAAATTAAAATAATATGTCAACAATAAATTACTCTGACCCTCAAAGCACTCTTACCTTTTACACCAAGCTCTCAAGTAACAAATTTGTTTTGAGTCCACTAGACATCTTCTGAAGACATTAGCAGACGAAGTTTTTTTGTGTGTGTGTGAAGTAAAATAGTTTTTATTGAACCTATTTAGAAAGACATGAGGAGAGAAGGAGGGAACACAGGCTTCTTTAGAGTTGAAAAAAGCAAGCAAAGAAACAGAGACAAGCAAGACAGATAAGTGTTGAAGGGAGAATACAGACTTGAAGAGCACTTGAAAGAGCCTTAGGACAATGTTTTTAGCCTATAGTTTTTAGCAGCTTAAAAGAAAAACAATTTAATAGTAACTAGAAGCTGGAGAATACTGTAAAGAGTAAAGAGTAAAATGATTCCTAGCACCACAGGCGGTCCCCTGAGCCCTGCCAACAATTTAATGGTAGCAATGTAAAGTTCAGTTTCCTAAGACTGAAAAAGAGGCTCCTGACTGACAAGAAGTGGGGAAATACAAAGGAGTAGAGTACCATTCACACTCTGTAGTCACTACACAACTTAAACAAGGGTATTATGCTGGACTTCTATCAGAAGATGAGATCTGGGGTCAGGGATATAGTGCAAGGCTTAAAGCACTTGCTGGCATGAGGTAGGTCATTCTTGGTTTCATTCCCAGCACCACTCATGGTCCCCTGAACAGAGCTAGGAATAAGCCCTGAGCACTGCCCAGAACCCCATTCCTCCCCTACACGCCCCTCCCCTGTGTGTGTGTGGCGGGGTACGGTGCCTGCCTTGCACAGGATGGACTCTGGTTCCACCCCTGGCACTGATAAGGATGGCCCCAAAACAAGAACAAAAAATTCACCCGTGTTGACATTTTTTTTTAATAAAAAAATTTTGGATTTAAGTTTCAGAGACAAATAGTGAAATAGCCAGAGAAATTTTAACTCTTCAAGCTAACAACTAAGTACAAGAAAATATTTTTATCATTTGCATTCTCCAAATGCAGAATCTATACATAGCCAGAGTTGCTTCAAATGCTTTATGCCTTTCATGGCACTGCTTCCCCGTAATGATAGCACCTGTAAAAGCACAGCTACACGGGCTTTAAGAAAATCCTAGAAAAAGGTATTCAAGAAGGAAAAAATTGACTAAACTAATGATATATTTACTAACTATAACTTTACACTATGGTTTCTCAGGCATATAGAACTACTTACCTATTCTAAGAAATAATTTTTTTTTTTATAATTGTATTTATTGAATCACCGTGAGAGCAGTTACAAAGCTTTCGGGTTTAAATCTTGGTGATCTTGGTCATACAATGAAACACTTCTATTACCTTCACCAGTGCCCATTATCCAACACCAAAGTCCCTAGTATGTCCCATCCCACACCCTCCCCCTACCTGTGGGGCAGATGATTTCCAAATTACTCTCTCTATACTTTGATTACATTCAACATTTCGACAACACACCCACCATTATTATTTGGGATTTTACCTCAACACTCAGATCTGCCAAAAGGGCAACAGTAGGCAATTTGTTTTCTATTGCTGGTTATGAATAACATATGATGTCACGTGGCTGCAGTAGTGGCCATGTGATTTTGAAATTCGGAAATTTTAACAATTCAATCTGTAGGGATTTCTTGCCAAAACCTGCTGGGTTCCAAGATTTGTTCCGGAGTCTCTGTGATCATGGCCATTAAGCAGGTTGATCAGGAGCCAGAGAGGCCGTTTGTGGGCAGTGACTTGGGGTATCCTTGGGATGGGGAGGAAAGGGCCAGCTCCACCCCCATCCCATGAGGCCCCATGTATCTCGTCCTGATTGTCCAGTGGTCTTTGGAGGATGGCAACCACTGGGCTGCTAGGGGGAACAGGCCAAGGCATGAAACCTATTCCCACCTGGGGTGGCCCAGCACCAGTAGCTTACTGCAGGGACTGAACACATTTCTGCAGAAAGCCGTTGGGTTTTGAGATTTGTTTGAGTCTCTGGGACCATGACCATTAAGTAGTTTGATCAGGAGCCAGAGAGGTGGTTTGTGGGCGGCGACTCAGGGTCTTGTTGGGACGGGGAGTAAAGGGCCGGCTCCACCTCTATTCCATGAGGTCCAGTGTGTCTCGTCACTGCGGATCCAAACGTAACTGTCCAATGGCCTCTGGTGGATGGCGGCCACCAACCTGCCTAGGGGGAGCAGGCAGAAACACCCTTTCCCCCCTGGGGTGGCCTGACAACAGTAACCTATTGTGTGGTGCACACACATTTCTGCCAAAAGCCACTGGGTTTCAAGATTTGTTTCTGAGTCTCTGGGATCATGACAATTAAGCAGCTTGATCAGGAGCCAGAGAGGCCGTTGGTTGGCGGTGACTAGGGTCTCGTTGGGACGGGGTAAAAAGGGTCGGCTCCACCCCCATCCTATGAGGCCCCGTGTGTCTTGTCACTGTAAGCCCAAACCTGACTGTCCAATGGCCTCTGGAAGATGGCGGCCACCGAGCTGCCTAGGGGGAGCAGGTGGAGGGACAGCACCCTTTCCCCTCTGGGGTGGCCTGGCGACAGTAACCTACTGCACAGTCCGGACATATTTCTGCCAAAAGCCAGTGGGTTCAAGATTTGTTTCTCAGTCTCTGGGATCATGGCCATTAAGCAGCTTGATCAGGAGCCAGAGAGGTGGTTCATGGGCGGTGACTGGGGGTCTCGTTGGGACAGAGAGGAAAGGGCTGGCTCCACCTACATCCCATGAGGCCCCGTGTGTCTCATCACTGTGGGCCCAAACCTGCCTGTCCAGTGGCCTCTCGAGGATGATGGCCACTGGCCACCAGGGGGAACAGACCAAGGCACAAAACCTATTCCTACCTGGGGTGGCCCGGTACCGGTAGCCTATTGCAGGGACCGGACGCATTTCTGCCAAAACCTGTTGGGTTTCAAGATTTGTTTCTGAGTCTCTGGGATCATGGCCGTTAAGCAGTTCAATCAAGAACCAGAGAGGCCATGCCTCCAATTTTATAGCTGAGCCGGAGGTGGTTTGTGGGTGTGTCTTTCACATACCTAACTTTTGGCCGTTTACTTTCTTGGTAAAGTTTGCCCCAAGTTTCTGAGGTCTGGCCAAAGGCACAGCAGCAATTTTGGGGTATCTGGAAGTCTGAAGGCCCCATGAGGCTGCAAATGCATTCGCCTCACAGGTACAGACTGACCTGCTGGCGGCACCATACCCCCCACAAATAAGCATCTCATATTCAGTTTCTCAAGTTCAGAAAGATGAGTTAATTCATTAAAAAATGACTGAATTTGCATCAATTTGATTCAGCTAGTCACAATAGTTAAAAACAAGGATATTAAGTCATTTTGCGACAGTAGATATTCCTGTAACGGGAGAGAGTATGGCAGGATAACAAATATCATTTAACTTGTCCTGCTACAGAACAGCAAGATACTGGATACTCCTCAGACCTACTGATTTGGAGAAAGAGGAAACAAACCTAACACACCTAGAGAAATAAAATAAAAACATTTATCTGAATAAAGATTTATATGAAAATTCTCCAGTGGATTTATTAAGGATTGCCCGAAATTGAAAGCAATATAGATGTCCCTCAGTAAGCGATTAAGCAACTTGTGGATGAGATAATCAAAATGGGTTACTACTTGGCAATAAAAATAAACTACAGATGTGTGTAAAAACATGTCAACTACAAAAGCAGAGTTAAGGGAAAATAGAAAGGCCAGGGAGGTAAGTCAGTGGCTAAGGGTACATACATAACATGCATTGGAACCCCTTTTCTTTCTTTTTTATTTTTTTTATTTAATTACCATAAGATAGTTACAAATCTTTCATGATTGAGTTTCATTCATACAATGTTTGAACACCCATCCTTATACCAGTGTACATTTCCCACCATCAATGTCCCCAGTATCCCTCCCGCCACTCCCATCCTAAGAGCCTTTTTCGGACCTGAGTATCACACGGTTGTCCAGGGTCAGGGTCAGGGTCAGGGTTAGGGTTAAGGTTAGGGTTAGGGTTAGGACCACCGCACTGAACAGTGTGTATTATTGGATTGGAGTAGTTGGGCTAAGCGTTAAGAGAGGAACAACACAGTTCTCCTGAGCACTGTTTTGGAGACCCTTCCCCCATAGTTGAATAAAATTATGCTCCATATCATCACTTTTATATTAAATTCCTAAAAAGGCAAATTTTAGTTAAAAATACATAAGTGGCCCTATGTGCTGGAATTAACTACAAAGGAGAGAACTTTTTTGAATCATTAAAATGTCCTGCTTTTGTTTCATTATTTTTCCTTTGGGGCATCTCTGATGGTACTCAAGGTTCTTTTCTGGAGGTGACTGGGGAATCATTCATTTAGGAATGAACACAGGCCTCAACACAGAAAGAGTACACTCTTGACTTTTGAGCCTCTCCCTACCTAAAAATACTCTTATTGTTATGAGTGTGGCAGTAGACACTCATCAAATTGTACATTTTGGTAGCACTGTCCTCCTGTTGTTCAGCGATTTGCTCGAGCGGGCCCAGTAACCTCTCCATTGTGAGACTTCTTGTTACTGTGTTTGGCATATTGGATACGTCACGGGTAGCTTGCCAGGCTTTGCCGTGTGGGCGAGATACTCTCAGTAGCTTGCAGGGCTCCCCGAGAGGGGTGGAGGAATCGAACCTGCCTTGGCCTAGCCGACCGCGCTCAAGGCAAACGCCCTTCGCGCTGTGCTATCACTCCAGCCTATGTACATTTCGTTTACTTTTATTTTTTGGTTTCTGGGCCACACGCAGAGGTGCTCAGGGCTTGCTTACTCCTGGTTCTACGTTCAGGCAACACTCTTGGTGGACTTGGGGGACCATATGGGGTGCTGGGGCTCAAACTTGGGTGGGTAAAAGTGGGTATCAATTAGGAAGTCTCTAAAAGAAATTGCCCAAATCAGGTAATCTTCAAGATCAATGTCACTGTAACCAGTGACTGTTTACT